CCCCTAACCGCTGTTTTGCGGCCTCCCGCAGCTTCTCCCCAGCGCCTGCTGCTGCCGCCGCTCCTCCTCGGGCCCGCTCCCCAATGAGAGGATCCGCAACATCGGCATCTCGGCGCACATCGACTCTGGCAAGACCACGCTCACCGAGCGCGTCCTCTTCTACACCGGCAGGATCGCCCAGATGCACGAGGTGCCCCCGCCACCCTCGCCCGCTTCCCACGTGCCCCAAACCCGGCTGTCAGGCCTGTGCCCACCGAGCTCTGTGGAATGTATCCCCACAGATAGATGTTTCCCTTCAGAAGTGGCAGTCAGAAACAGGCAGCGCGTAAATGTGGGGGTTTTGTTTTGTTTTCAGCTTCAGGTGTGTTATTTTGTTAAATTCCCAGTGTAGCAGGAATTGCCACAGGTTTTCAGTAGGTTCTTGCAGGAAGGACCCTCAGAAGGGCAGAGGATGTTAAAGTTGTAGGTAAAACTGCCTAAATTCAAACCTGCTCATAGTTGAGGATTTTGAAAGTTATTCCATCTCGCCTGTTTTGGTGTGGAAGATGGTTCTCCCTGGGTAAAGCATCGCTGCTGCTCATGGAAACTCCTTAGTAGACTCTTTAAGAGAGATTTTTGCTTTTTTTCCGCAAGGTGAAAGGTAAAGATGGAGTTGGAGCCGTCATGGACTCTATGGAGCTGGAGCGGCAGCGCGGCATCACGATTCAGTCTGCAGCAACGTATACCATGTGGAAGGACACCAACATCAACATCATAGACACGCCAGGTAGCGCCGGCACTGAGCACATCAGCATTGCCATTCCTTGATAGACGCAGAAAATATGGATCCATCCTCGTGTCCATTAGTCACTTGAGTTGTGCCAATGGAATGTGCCACATTCCATTGGATTTTGCTTTTTTTTCCATATCTATGAGAGTATAATTGCTTTTTACCTTTTACTGTCTATGCTTCCCTTTTCCAGGGCACGTGGACTTCACAATTGAAGTGGAAAGGTCCTTGCGCGTTCTTGATGGAGCCGTTCTGGTCCTGTGTGCCGTGGGAGGCGTTCAGTGCCAGACCATAACCGTGAACAGGCAGATGAAACGCTACAGCGTGCCGTTCATCACGTTTATCAACAAGCTGGACAGGCTGGGCTCCAGTCCAACCAGAGCAGTGCAACAGATGAGGTGTTTGTCGCTTGGTTTGTGAAATAGTTCAGGACTCAGGTTAACACTGAGAATATTGGGAAATGTTACCTTTTGGAGGCTGTAGTTGTTTGGGGGGTAATTATGACTTGTGGTTAATCCTAGTCTACACCATAACAAATCTGTGCTTTCCCAAGAAAATGATAGCAAAACAAATCTTAGTGTTAGCCCAGACTCACGGAGTTGGGAGTTTATTTATTATATTAATTTGGTATTTATTTATTATAATAATCTAGTAAGTGCATTAAAATGCAGCCAGACATTTGTCTTCGGTATTAGTAGATTCTGGAACTGTCAAAGGAGTGAGAGGCTTCAACTGCAGGAATACAGTAGGAATGGGATGTTTTTCAAGGAACATCTGGAGCACATATGTTTAATGACTACCTTTTTGCTTTCAGTCATATGTTTAATGACTGCTAATTTTTATTTGTTCACTTTTCCAGATCAAAGTTAAATCACAATGCAGCTTTTGTTCAGATTCCAATTGGGCTGGAGGGAAACTTTAAAGGAATTATAGATCTTATTGAAGAAAGAGCCATATATTTTGATGGTGCACTTGGGTAAGTGTCGCAACTTTAATATTTCTTACCCTGAAGCTACTATTTGTGTGGGTAATGCTGAAATACAGAAACCTATAGCTATTTAGAAATGGGAAAAAGAAAAACAAACAAAACCACTATTTGGACAGTTGGGGGTGTTGCTTGTGCTAGGGCACAAACTCTCCAAGTTACAGACATAGGAACCTGCTTCATGACTGGCACCACTAGCGTGTGTTTGACATGAGGTTACCAGGATGCAGATAGGAGGCAGGGGGGTGGCAGGGTGTTGATGAGCAGGTTATTCTGCAGCTTTGCAAAATCATGCCGTGAAAGGGAAGGAGAAACCCTTCCCTACTTAACCATCAAAGATACCAAAGGGGAAGATACCCTCATATGATTTTTATTTTTCATACTACTATGTGATTCTTTTGATATCCATGTCAGTGGTGCATTTTTTTTTCTTTTTGATCAGCCTGGTCATACCAATGATCAGCGATCCAAGCATGATCCATACAATATTCCTTTAGAGCAGTTATTTTCTTTACTGTGTGTAGCCAGACTCTTCGGTACGATGAAATCCCGGCTGAATTCAGGGCTGAGGCTGCAGATAGACGTCGGGAGTTGATTGAATGTGTGGCTAACTCAGATGATCAGCTTGGGGAGCTCTTTTTGGAAGAAAAGATTCCTACAGCTGCTGACTTAAAGGTAACTTCATAGTGGTCCTTGTTCCTGCAGCCAGGTGTTCTTTTTTCCCTAGAAAATGTCTTGAATTATTTCTTAATGCCTGATTCCTCTTGTATGGGCGTCATCTGCTACAGGCAATTCACAGTTTATACCCAGTGGAAGGCCCATTCTACCCTTGTTTTTTTGAGTAATTCCTTCCATAAAAACAACTTGTGCTAGTGGGCTCTCAGAAAGCGTGGAGGAGGGAACTAATTTGACTGAAGTTGCTGGATCTCTAGGTAGATTTGTCCAGGAAATTTTGAGCTTTTGTGCTCCTTGGAGAGAAGCAAACCTCTCCAAAGGAAATGGAGTGGTTTTATTTCTTTTTTTTCCTCTGTTGCTTGTCTACACTACAGCTTTCTGGGTGTGACTTGCTTCAAGTCCTCTTTGTAAGAAATCTTGCCTCTTTTTATATTTGCCTTGATCACATCCACCTAAGGTGAAGGGAGCAGTACTCTAGAAGGGAATTGGAATGATTTGGGGTAGGGGAGCAAATCCAGAAGCAATGAACTTATGTCAAAATAAGAATTTTTCAGGAAAGAAGAATGCTTTTCTTGGAATTGATACATGATTTATTTTATGAAATATTTGGGTATTGCATGGCAAAAGGCTTTCCGACATGAAGGGATGCCCACAGAAGCGGTGAGGAGCACCAGTTTCCTTACAGCAGGTGACCACAGACTGAAAGGGTTTCGTTCTTGTGGCGTTGCTGTGTCTGTGACTCCAGGTGCGGAGGTGCCGTGGAGGCCTCGGGAGCTCCGCTGCGGCCGTGCAGCCTTCGTGCAGCTTCCACTGCCGCGTGCTGCAGGCTGGGATGAGCTGCTGCTGCTCAGTGCAGCCCTAAGAGCAGGCTGGGGTGCAGTCCATATTTTAGACTGTTTTATTACTTGAAGCTTTGAATTACCAAAACAAAAGTTTGTTTTGGCCATATGGCTGGATTTACTGGTGGTTAATGTCTCTAGTACTGTAGAGGAATCTGTACAAGCATTTTTTTTTTCCAGAAGTATTAAGCAAATGTAACTCTTATGTCAGTAATCAGAGGTTTGGTTATTGGCGTTTCCAGCAATCAGTTGTTTTTTTATGAAGCACGAGCTGTTCGTGTTGCAAAGCAGCCTTTCTCTATTTGGTAAAAGCAAAATATAGTAGCAGTTTTAGAGACGTGTGAGGATCCATGTTCCACTTGGAGGAGGGAATAATACAAATGGGAATACGCTATATTTCTGTAAGAGGTGAGAGATTCCAGCAGGAAGCTATTTTCAATGGCTCCTGCTGGGAGGGAAACCTGCTACAAAAATGAATTTGTTTGTTCAGCATGCCTCTGCTTCCCACTTCTGAAAGCCAATTAATTATAGTTATAATGGCTATAGCATTGCAGATGCAGGTTAATTTGTATTAATATGTCCCCAAAGATGGATTTTCTTTCAGTGGCCAGCAGCCAAGTTTCCGCTGAAAATCCCTTTTCATAGGAGGGATGGTAGGTATCACTCCTGGAGGTCAGAGCCTGAGCATCTGATGTTCATTAAAGATCGACTTCTTAAGCAAACACCTCATTTGCTACTGTCCAAAATGCTGGAGTCGAGGAACTGATATGCCCCAAGCTGCTCAGTGGGGCACTCAGTTACAATAATCTTTATTCAAAAATAAAATTACTTTTTTTTTTTCTTTTCCCTGAGGTAGTTGCTAATGTGAATCAATTGGAGCCACGCTGCTTCATTTGAAACAACATGGTAAAACAGAAACCCAGGCGTCAGCAGGGCTGTGTGCTCTGTGCTCAGCACAGTGTGGGAAAGACCCAAGGAAATGGTCATGTGGGAACATAATGCAAAAATTATTTTTGCAGAGTGATTAAATCAAGAAATTCAGAGAAAGAGGTGTTTTCTTTTTCTAAGTTAAAGAATAAGAAATCCTTTTCTAATTTCTTCCTATAAATCAGTTTGCTTTCTTGAGGTTTATGCCTTGCTGACAGTTTTTGGCTGAGCTCTTCTGAATTGCTGTCTCTGAACTATAAATGTCATTTAGCCTTTTGTCTTTAGATACTCTAATAAACTCCCAGGTCAGATGATGTGATTAACTGCAGGAAACTCATTTGTTTAGCTTACCAAAGGAGACAGCAGCCCCTTTCCTTGGAGTGGAGGCTTTGCAAGTGTGGGCAAGGAGCATCCTCTAGTGGCAGGGAGAGGTGAGACCAAGTTAATAACTTGGGTTCAGTAACTTGTTCTTTTCTGGGATGAGCAATTAGCTCCTGCCCACCTTTCTCAGCCTTTAATGAAGACAGCTGTGACTGCTGTTTTGGGAGCTTTTGGCCCTCAGCTGTGTTTTTCAGTTGTGTGATGCTTGGGTGAAAGACACTGTATAATCGTGTGGTTATTGTGCAGTTAATTTATCCTACTGAGTTTGCTAGGGGGTCTTGGGAGGCTTCCTAAGGCAATCAGTATGGCTTCAGCAAAAGAGTGTGAATAGGTCCTTCTGTAGCAGTGTGAAAACATTTTGGATTAAAACTGATGATTCATTCCACACACAAGTTCCCCAAGTGTCCCTTCTCTACCTTTATTTTTCTGAAAGGTTTTACAGTGCTTTAAAGATGTCAAAGCTTCTTATTTTGCTTTCACAAATTGAAATGTATATTGTTTTCTAATGTAATACATTGAGGAAAAAGGGAAATGAGGACCTGAAAACAGCAATGAAGAATCTTAACTTTACTGTTATATTTTAGCTTATGTGTTTCCATTTTAAAGTTCAACTTAAGATAAAAAAAATCTCAAAATTCTCTAGAAAAGCACTGATTAACTTTCATGGTGTAGGGAGTTCTGCAGGAGAGTCTTGAGGGCAGCTACTTTACTCCACAGGTGAAGAAACCAGTAAAGCTGGAGAGTGGCATCTGTAATGCTGGGCAGTTCATACTGTATCAGACTCCTGAAGTTATGGCACAAGGAGAGTGACACATTGATATTTTTCTAGCTGGCAATCAGAAGAGCAACACTGAAAAGGTCCTTCACCCCTGTGCTTGTGGGAAGTGCTCTGAAGAACAAAGGAGTGCAACCACTGCTGGATGCTGTCCTGGAATACCTGCCAAATCCCTCAGAAGTTGAGAACTACGCTATATTTAACAAGGAGTAAGTAAACTCGGGAGGGTATGGAATGCTTTTGGGATCAGGTTTCCTAGCAGTGTTTACCTGTAGCAGGAAACGCTACTTCCAAAATCTGCGAACATTTACGTTAAAAAATGCAATCACAGTTTCTGCACAACATTCTAAAAACAACAAGAGTTCCTCTCATTTGGGGGGACATATGTACTTCTAATGCTTATTGAATGTTAAGTTTGAAATTTTGTTAATTGAGATAAATGTGGGAGAACCACATGTGTGAGCATCTTGTAACTTTGTATTATAAAATTCTGTGGAACTGAAGGGGGACATTCCAGGATTGTTTGGAGGCTGCTGGTGTTTCCCTCGTAATACTAACTCCCTATCTTAACTCTTCTCCTAAGGGATTCTGAAGACAAAACCAAGTTCCTGTTGAACTCTGCTCGAGACAATTCCAAGCCTTTTATAGGCCTTGCTTTTAAGCTGGAGGTAAGCTGGTACTTTTGCTAATGCAGCAAAAAGAGAAGGGAAGGAGAGCATTTCCTGGGAGAATTGTTGTGTATGTCAGTCTAATACACAGTGAGCAAGTACAGTCTACTATCATGCTGTCACCAGTTCCCAGGAAATGCCTTAATGCAGTGATGGTTGTTGCTTCTGGGGAGAAAAGCACTCCTGCATTCCCCTTTTAAAGCTTGGTGTTTAAATGTCTGTGCATTTGATGGCAGTATTTGGTCACAGTGTGTGTGGTACAGCTAAACTAACAGCTTCTATAGAATACAGACCCAGCACATTAAGTGACTGAGTGACTTCAAATGTTTCGAATTTCCTACACTCCCAACACCTGACTTCTGCTGAGAGACTTAACAAGTTATATTCACTTTATGTTAATATTGAAGGAGAATAAAACCATATGCAGGTTCATTATTTGTGATGCATGAAGCATATCAAACATTTCAAATCTGCTAAACTTTCTAATGAATTAGTTGACTCAAATACTACAGGTTTTTCTTAGCTAAATCCTGAAAGCTTGGAAGGTTTTGTTGGCTTAGCTCACAATGATTTCAGAGAAAAAACCTGCTTGAAGGTAAACACAATGGAATATAAGAGACAAAGAGCAAACAGCCCGATGCTTTAACCAAACAGGCTGCTTGCTACCTAGAGGGTAGAGGTTTGGATTTTTCTACATAAAGTGGCCAGCCAAATTGCTAGTTGCAGCATGTCTTTGTTGTGAAAGTTTAGGACTGATAAAATTGACAAAAATTTGCAAGGAGATGCCAGGTTTCCATCCTGGAATAATGTAAAAGTTAGGTTTACGTTAATAAAAAAGTTTCATTTATTTGTCTACATGTCTGTATAAATTCAAAGCAGAATCATTGAGTCCATTACTGCAGAGCATGCTTAGAATAATGATGGTCTTGGTAGCCAGAAGGATTATACTTGACTTTTAATGCTTTTTTATTAATTTTCATTTCAGGCAGGCCGTTTTGGGCAGTTAACTTACATCCGAGTTTATCAGGGAATGCTGAAGAAAACGGACTATATTTATAACACGAGGACTGGGAAGAGAGTGCGTGTGCAGAGACTGGTCCGCATGCACGCGGACAACATGGAGGTGAGTGCGAGGGGGAGCGTCCACGCAAACTCATCGCCTTTCGGGTCAGTGTTATTCACAAAGCGAGAAGCTAGTTTCCTATCTCTGAACAGTGTGATTACATGGCAATTTTTTGATATTGGTATTAATTCATATTTGTCTGCAGCCTTTCTTAGAGCTGTAATTACACTGAAGGCATTTTCAGTTTATTTTCACTTGAGTGGAAAAATCTTTTCTTAGGAAACAAAATGACTTTGAGTTGACAGCCTAAAAATGCCTGCTGTGGTATTATCCTGCATATTCCTTACTTCTGGAGAAGGGAAATGGTACTGGCGAAATATACAACAAAATTTTCTTCCATATGTTTTTGAAAACAATTCTTAAATGAATAAATGTTTCTTAAAATGCCGCAGGCATTACTCTGCTTAAAATCCTCTAACTGTAGCTGGGGCAGGACTGCCTGAAAAACAGTATGTTGCTTGCTCCACATCATACTGTCTAAGATCTCCTTTTTGTGCATTTCTTTTGAAGAAATAGAAAGTTTACAGAGCACTTTATCCAAGCTGGAATTTTCAAAGGAGTTGAACGTTGGGCTTTTAAGCACGGCGTTTATGTCTTTGCCATATCTTTGTCATGTACTGTTGTCTTCCAGTGATACCTAACTAGTGAACCTTTTCTTCTTAAGGATGTAAATGAAGCTTATGCAGGAGACATATGTGCATTGTTTGGAATTGATTGTGCGAGCGGGGATACGTTCACTGATAAAACGAGCACTGACATTTCCATGGTAAGTGCGCTTCTGAATCTGCAGAATGCTTCATCCAGCATTGGAGTTTCCAGGCTTCTCTTAAATATTTTTATTCTTTGGTTCAGTTTAAGTACTTTTTGGATGTATATACAATTGCAAATAATTATTGTGATTTTTTGTTATACTTCAAAGAACCTGAATATACAGATGTATGTGTGTCCAAGAGATAGGAGCTCTTTTACAGCACTTGGCATCAAATATGTAACTCCAATTTTAGCAAACTTGGGAAACAAACATTTCCAGGATGCCAGGACCGCTACCACCTCCTTTTCTGTCAGTGTGTAGTCAAATACTGAGAGGGTGCTGTAACCCCCAAAGTACTAAAAGATGTGTTGGTACCCATACGCAGGTATATCTGTTCTATTTATATGTTCCTCTACGAAGTCAGACATTAGAATATGTCCAGTGTGAGATCTCAGCAGAGATCAACTTGCATCCAGGGACTAGCATTATTATGGTGTGGTTGGCATTCAATGAGTATTAAGTAGTAGCTTTGTAATCCTGAGGAGAATTATGGTTTTGCTGCAGTGTGGTATTAGACACAGGCTGTGTAAGTAAAGTGGTCGTGCCTGTTTGGAACCCGGGGTTCTTGTCATCAAACTTCCCTGGAGAAATATCAGCAGGTGTAGTGCAACCCGATTCTATGATCTCTTTCTTTATAACCATTACAGGAATCAATTCACGTCCCTGATCCTGTCGTTTCAGTAGCTATCAAGCCTTCCAACAAGGTAGGCACCTATGAATTAACCTTTTTCTGAGTTGCCTTTTTCTGATGCTTCTAACACTTTGTTCAAGTTAGCAGGCAAATACTGGCTCATACAGGCTAAAATGAGCAGCATTTAAAATATACTGTCCAAACCATTCAGATAACGTATTAGGATGCTAGATAGTAACACTTAACCATAGGGAAGCTGCATGTCTTTGCTTTAAGTAAGTATGGTCTAGAAATAGCTATTTCAAACTAAAAGATACTTACTTCTATCTTCCATAAGAAAAGCAGAGATAAGCTAGACTCAAGGGACTTTCCTGTTCTATCAAGCTTACAGTCAGCCTGGCAAACTTCATCAGCATCCAGGAGCTAGAAGAATAAATGCAATTATAAATCTCTGGCTGTGCTTTAGAAAATAGCCTCATGAGAGTAGAAGTGCTAAGCAGTTGGCAAGTAAACTTGAGGCCTTTTTTGTTATGTGACTTTTGGATACCGAATTAATGTTTTTTTTCCCTTGCATGTGTTAATTGTTTTTAGAATGACTTTGATAAATTTTCGAAAGGCCTGAGCCGCTTTACCAGAGAAGATCCCACTTTTAGAGTCCATTTTGATGATGAGAGCAAAGAGACCGTTGTTTCTGGAATGGGAGAGCTGCACCTGGAAATCTATGCTCAGGTAATTTTGAAAGCGAATTCCACACACTGTGCTTTTGAATAGTTTCCCAAACAAGAGTTCTCCTTTCTTTCTGAGATGTTGCATTGCTCTGCCAAAATCTGTCTGCAGATGGGCTGTTGAGGCCACACCGAAGGCCTGATTTTGTAGTTGGTCCCCTAAGCTCACCTCACCCTTTCTGGATTGCTTGGAGATACAACTCGCCTTGATTTCATAGTAAATCAAGGTTTTCATATGGCAGCTATTTTGAGGCCTTTCTACCAGAGGGCACTGTGACATTAATGTGAACAATACTAGCCACTTGGGGAAGTGTTGAGCTTCTTAGGCAGCTCTTGAAGATTCTCTCTCCCTAGTGGTTCTTCTCTGGAGGCTTATAATCTATTTAAATGAACCTTCAGTCTGAAATGGTTTTACTTTTTGGTACAAAACCAATGGTGCCCGTCCAGTTTGGTACAAAAATGTTGTGTTAGACATTTCATTTTGCTTTAGTGAACCTTGCTTGTAATGAATTTTAACATTAACCTTTTTCCATAGGAGAGAGAAAAATTTTATTTCTCTGCTTTTATATGTATGTAATTTCATAATAAGAGGTGATGAAGTAGGAATAGTTACTTACAATGATCTGTTTATTTCTTTCATTCTAACATCTGTTTTTACAGGCTAACATAGTAGATATATCTGAAATGTTGACAGAATGAAAAAAGACGTTTCTGTCTTTGAAAACTTAAACTTGAATGCAGTAGTTATGCTGTTGCCTTGGCCTATATCAAAAGCTATCTAAAGCCCCTGAACAAGAATCACAGAATGCTTAAGGTTGGAAGGGATCTCTAGAGATCATCTAGTCCAACTCCCTGCTCCAGCAGGGACACCTGGAGCACGTGGCCCAGGGTGGCATCCAGACAGGTTTGGAAGATCTCCAGAGAAGGAGACTCCACAGCCTCTCTGGGCAGCCTGAGCCAGGGCTGTCTCACCCTCACAGTAAAGAAGTTCTTCCTCATATGGAGGTCGAACTGCCTATTCACTGTTTTAATGACAGTGAATAATTTATAACACCTGTTTTTCAAAAGTAAATAAAACCCAAACCAAAAGAACATGTTAACTCTGACTAAAGTTTCTCGCTGTAAAATTATTTGTGACAAAAAACCACTGTCAGTGTATAGGGACAGTTCTTATTTTGATTCTTTTTCCTTTTTTTTTGGATTCTGCAGCGAATGGAAAGAGAATATGGTTGTCCTTGCACCATGGGAAAGCCAAAAGTCGCCTTTAGAGAGACCATCTCTGCACCTGTGGAGTAAGTATTGTTCTACCAGTTTTCTATTAATTTTGACACAACATTTAATTATGCAGCATATAACATGACAGTAGGCTTACTGGATTAAAGTAAAAGCAGGAAAAGTTTTACTGAGCAAGGTGTTACTTGCTTTGGATTGTGTGTCCCCTTCTACTTATGTGCCCTCCTTCAAACACTTGTAGCATTTCAGCTTCTCCCACCGTCGTGCGGGGCGCTCCGTTAGTGCTCGGCGTGTTGCGGCTGACGGCTGTTCTGTGTTACTTTAACACCGTGCTGTGGGTGCCAGAGAACTGTCATTTGCCAGGGAATAATCTCCTGTGGGTGGAAAGCAAAGGGTGTGCTGGAGAAAGCAAGGAGGTATTTTCTTCAGACAACACTGAGCTGGAATTGACTGCTGTGATATAGACACCTGGGCTGACTTTTAACTAGGTTGATCAAGCACTAATAGCAGCGCAGAGTAGGCAGCACAGCAGTCCGTCCTGCTGAGCTCTCAATGTTTAAGTTCATTTTTCTCAGAAAATTCTGAGGAGCTGAAGCATTACAGATGCAGTAACTTCACTGTAGTGGAGTGGCGTAGGAAACAGTGAGGCAGGAATGGGAGTGAAATCTCTCATTCAGTGGGTGACTTACTATAGGGTGTTACACAGTCAAGAGCTTCTGGTCTAAAACTCTTTTAGTTTCTCTGCATCGGTGTCTTCTGAAGACATTTGGCCAGATCCCAGTATTGCAGTGAAAATCACATACAACGTAAATACTATTCTAGGAACTAGAGTTACTGCTTCTTGTTGTATACTCTGTATCCTTCTGTTTGAGAAAAGCTGGGGTGGATTTTGTGTATTGCATGTTGGTCCTCCAGTGCTATCCCTCTAGTAGAGAGATACCCTGTTTGCAACTGCAGCTGGAATGCAGTTAACCTGCCCAAAATGTGGCAGGTTTTGGTCCCTGTGCCAGTCTGGTGATAGTACCTCCCAAGAGAGGAGATCTGTCAGTGCCCCTCTGCCACTCGCAAGAAGGGCTGAGATCAGTTGAAAATTGCAGCCTCCTGACACCAGCAAGAGACTCATGTCCTGCCTGCAAGGAGCAGAAGCAGGGAGCACTGAGGCAGTGGGTGCTCTTTTCCCTAACTGCCCCCAGTTTGCCACCCTGCTGCAGGCATCAGACCTGTGGACACCTCCCCATCCCCATGTTGGAGCTGGGCGTTACGGAAATGGCAGTCTTGAAACCAAGAGAAAAGATATTTTTTGGTTTGGGAAGTAAGACTTTACCTGGGACACAAATTCATGCAGGAGAACCATGTAGTCAAACTCAAGGTAATCATCACTTCTTTTCTGGAAAGACAAGGGCTGAATGAAAAGGGTTGAATTCGGGGCTCTTTCCCCTCCCCATCCTCCTTTCAGAATGGTGAATCATTTCTCTCTTACAATAAAAAAGTCTCTGATGGGCGAAACTGGCAGCTTATATTCAAGGATAAAGCAGATGTAGTGTAGTCATTGTAACAAAAAAAGGATGCTATTTTGCATTACCATGACCTGCAAAATTGCATTTGAGATGTTGGATGTAAAATCTGAAACCATACTAATTCCTGCCTTCAAGTTAGATTTTTTCCAACTCGAGAAACTTATTTGACAACACCTGGTTGTATAATGCTATAGTTCTTTAGTTTAGCTTAAATAATCCTAAATAAAATTGGCAATAGGATAAGACTTGTAAGGCACTCAAGGGTCTTTACAGTGACTAGTGAGTTATCAGTGACAGTGTGAGCAAAATACTCTCTTTCTTCTCCAGATAATAGAAAAGGTAAAAAAAAAAAAAAAAAGTCCAGTAGTTTGATTGATAAAGTGGTCTGGTTTAATAGTATTGCTTTCTTTATATTTAAATTCATCTAGATGGTTTTAATCTTGCCTGTGCATAGCCCTACAGTATCCATGATCTGCTTTAGATACCAGAAGAAGCAAACTGTTAACAAATCGTGCTCCTAGAATGAGGTTCTGCATTTTCTTCATACCCATGAACTTCCTAAAAGTTCATGGGCTATTTCAAGTGGCCAAACATTTGGGCTCTGAAAGTTTATTCTGAAGAGCTCTGATATACTGGATTTTCTGCATATAAAGTCCTGTTTCTCTGCTCTAGACTATATACTAAATTTCCTTAAATTTGAAATTAACCATGTTTAGAAGTTATTCTCGCACCATGTTTATTTCCAAGTAGAGGAGATAATTCATAGAATTAGTTTTATTTATAAAAAGGCCCTATAGAAGCTTTCCTGGAAACAGGTTGCTTAATCAGTTGAGGCTGTTCCAGGTAAAAGTCTGCAAGGCTTGCTGATTTGGCAGCTAACGACAAATCCAGGTCTGCTCACTGTAAACACAGCTCTTGTCATCACTCAGAAAGTAATGAAAATGTAAATTACTCTGTCTTGAGATATTTTGCCCCTTTCTTCTTCGTGACACGTTTTCCTGAATACTCTTTTCCTATCATAAAGTTTAATCAATCATTACTATGATAATATAAGTCTAGGAACATTGCTGCCATTGAGGGAACTTTTCAGATCATGTAGACAGCTATCCTTGAAGTAAGTGTAATAGGAATTATTAACTGGCTTATTTAAAAAAAAAAAAGAGGGTAGGATATTTCTTCTGAACAGTATGAACGAATGAATGAATGTGTCAGCTAATGTATGGTGTGAATGGTTCAGCTAAAAATAAGCTTATGCTTCAAATATTTCTTTTTCTCCTTTGCTTCACCCACCCCCACAAAAGAAATAGTAAAAATAAGTTGGGAAGAGCAAAGTAAAAAAGCTAACATTAAGAGTGTGAAAAAATTAGTACTTTCTTTCTTGATTAGGATTTTGAGGTGAACTAGCAGACAGCAGAATATGCCGGTGTATATTTTGCACATTCAAGAATACTGTCAGCTGGGCTTACAGGAGCCTATGGATGAAAGGCAGGAGAGTAATATAAGATTCTAATCAAAGCGATAACCTCCAGGTGGAAAAGTCACTTTTGTAACTAACAAGCGTAAATACTGTTGTTGCCGAGGATGTATAGCATCTATAAATAAAATTTTTGAAGAGAAGGAAGGATCTAAATACACATTCAAATCACAAGTGAAAGCAGAACTTGTTGGAGTGAATGGGTTGGAAGGGAATAAAAAACAAAAACAGGCTTAAAAATGAACCAGACCAAGAAATCAAGACACAGTTGAGGTTCCATGCTTAAGAGCTTAACCACACCTGCAGTCTGGGATCTGCCACAAAAGTTATTTTTCGTGCAGGCCCTTGCTGGTGACTTACCACTTGCCTCACACGTTGGATGTGGGCGAGCTCGTAGCGAGTGTTTTCGGTGGAGTTCTGCCACACCACGTAGCCGGCAGCGGCCCGAGCGAGCCGTCTGAGGGGCTCCATCTCTGGGGACACGTTGCCATGGCTGTCTGGCAGGGAAGACAACACTCATT